TATTAGTATAGATGAATGATGAAAAAAAAACATGACAACACAATCAGGTTGTATAGAAGTGACATATTTTTTACCGATATTTAGAAATTTGATTGTCTATTTGATGCAACATTCACTGATCATGCAATCGATTAATGTCGTAAATCGATTGTGAGACTTTTATTGGGTACGTTTCTAAAGGACCGCAAACGGAACGTTTAAATTGGTTTATCACATTTTTATCGATGCGCTAATTAAGTATCTAGGCATTATGCATACGCTCAAGGGTAAAGTCTGCGTCCGGGCACATGCCCGTGCGACTATTGCCGCGGTGCGATGTGTGCGTTAGCTCACACGGCCGTTACATAACCTAGGCGCCTATTGTGAGCTAGGTGCATATGTGTTTGTGTGCTACGGATGAGTGCGTGCCCGTCGCCGACGGCTGACTTTTTCGATTGCAGATACGTAGTTGCTATGCCCGAAATATGTAGGCGGATGAAATTCGCGTCAACGTTACGCATTCTACGGCACGCTCCTTTACGAACTGTGCGCCTAGCCTAGTATATGAATATTTGCGACAATAGTCTTCGTAGCGTCATCGTCAATTATGCCACTATTTGTATAAGATTTTTTGGTATAAGTAATAATATATGCTATATAATTTTAATAAAAAATTGTCGATGACGATACGACGACGATTGTCACAATTACCGTGCTAGGCCCACTGTGTCTATACCACTATGTATACCACTGCCGGAATGTGGACAATGACAAATTTTTTTAAAACACAATTAAACTCTTGAAAATAAGGTGTAATATATGTGATATTACACTTCATATTCAAGAGTTTTATGATTTCATTTATTATGAAATTATATTATTTATATAAAGAGAAAGTAACTAGTTTTATAGCATTATATGCTACTTTATTTTAAAAATATAAAGCAATGTTTAGCTTGCATGAATTTGATTTGATTGTCGTCATATTAAATTCTTATTTGAAATTGAAATATTTTTCGATGACATTCAATTTTAATGAATTAAACTTAATTTGTTTAACATTAAATTTTATTTTAATTTCAAACGATATAAATCACTTTTGAAAAAAAGAAACTTGTGACGGCAAATTTTAAATGCTTTATTTTATATAATCGTGATAAATTACTTGTATAAAAATGTGATGTATTGGAATTATGTAGTTCACTATGGATGGTAACAAGTAACCCTTGAAAAACTATCTGTCCGTGTGTATATAACTATTTGAAAGGGTGTTTCTGTTAGCGCGCTGCGGTCTGTTCACAACATATTTGTTTTCGTTAAGCTTTCCTGTCTCACGGCTCTATTATTGTATGCCGCTATCCAGCCTAGTAAATTAAAAATAGCTATTCAATATAGGATATAAATTCAAATTGTTTTATAGTTATTTAATATTTTTTTATCCGTCTTAAATGTTCTTTAATGAGTTTAAATTAGTTCAGGAGTTATACCGTTTGCCACAAAAAGGTGTCCGGTTCTTTGTTTAACAGAAAAAATTATGTTAATACTCATAAGTAATTTTATACTACCATCTAGTGCCATGTTTTCTATGATTACGTGTTAATTAACAATTATTTTGTTTTTTTTTAGCTATATTTATATTATAAAGAGTTATATTTTCTTTATTTTGCATGTGTTTTTAATGCTGCATTATTCCGAAATTAGATTATAAATATTTTTGTTATATTAGATCAATCGAAAATAAGTAAAAAGACAATTCAATTTACTGCCGCGAAATTTCAGCACACGCATTTATTTAAGCGACTCGTGAATTATGCGAAAACCTTATCTATAATACACTCAAACGCTATCAGATAGGCTGTGTAATGCAACTGATAACCTTGAGTATGTAAGGGACATCGTATTATCAGCGGCGGAATATTATATCAATTTAGAAAAAAAACTTTTAAAAATAAAATTCAAATTATTTCATATTTTTTTTATGTCTCGAATAAATTACGTGTCGAGAAACTGGCAAGTACTAACACTGATAAGATGTACATATTCGCGAATCATTGAGGTAACATGTGATAACTGCCGTACTTTTGCTGTGCGGTTGATTACGATGTGAGGTAGGTCAGCGTTAAATAACAAAAATAACTGTTATCATTTGAATTCTTTCGAGACGCGAGAGGTGAATATTTTTAAAGAATTTATTTGTTTTGTCGCTGCGCTAAATTTACGACATCACTATTAGCACGTCTCAGTATAATACGCATGTATGCTTTTTACGAGAGGTGAAATATATTTAAATTACTTTAATTTCAAACTCAATACAATCGTTAATCTTTCAGTCATGTGACTTGCCTTGATTTTTTTATTGTAGGTTATACATTGCATCCAAAAAAATGTTTTCCGTCTAATTACTACGACGTAGTATTCGCCAAAAGACTGAATTTAGCGCCAAAACTAGTTTATATTTGATATCCCACATGTGACATTTAATGACCTATTTTGAAATTAAGCCGGAAGTCTCTTTTTGGTATTTAATTAGAAATACCTAATTTCTCTCTATCTCTATCTCCAATCTCTTATTAGTTATATAAAGTTGCACTCTTCAAGTTTTAAAATTATTCTCAATAGAATATTCAACTCTGCGCAACTCGATGACTGATCTGAAAAGTAAATCAATGTTTATAAAGTACGGTTAAATGGGCAAGCAATAAATGGTACGGTTAATATGGGCAGCGATCGCTTCGCTATTTAGGCAAATTTATAAAAGAAATTTCATAATAAATCTACACTTTAAGACTCCCTTAGTAACTACTAAAGGCGTGCTAAAGTTATAGTTAAATAACTATTTATATGTTATTCGATTTTATTTACTTATCTGTTTTGACTATCAGTAGGTACTTACTAGCCAAGAAGTATTATTTGGCATGTTCTACACACGTGAAAACATCGTGAGTAATTGCCAAAACAATTTATATTATCCCTCTTGTTTTCTATATGAAAAACAAAGATAACAATATGTTTTTGGACAAGCACTTTGACAGAGGATAATCACAATTACCTACTGCAATTAAAAATATAGTTACCGATTAATACGCAATCGATCGTTTAGAAATTTAGATCGTTTAGAAAGGAACTGTTGACTGTCTTCGGACACAGTTGTTACTTTGACGTTTACATTTTTTATTTCTCTTTTTAAATTAACTAAAATATTTGCTAGGATCATGTTTATCTTTTAAATATTTAATAAAACTCAAAAATATGCAGTAGTATATTTTAAGAATTTTGCTTCTATATTAAATTAATGTCCGTCTATATAATTTATGTGTTATTTATTTTTATTCTAAAAAATATCATAGCAATATTGTTTGAAAGCTTTTTCTTGACTTTACAAAGAAAACATTTTTATTGAAATGTAATCAAAAATGTTGGTAACATTGATAACATGTTGGTATATTGGTAAAGCAAAATTTTAAGTAAATTTACTAAAGTAGTCCGTAATGTTTTTTTTTGTAAAGTCTAGGATACGATTCGCCATCCTTATTTAAAGATACTACATAGAATATGAAAGTAATTGAAACTCGGTCTAACTTCTTAAGTCTAAGTAAATATTTAAAGTAAGTTAGTGTAAAAACTTGAAGCTACGACGGTTCGTGTTTCACACGTTCAGGATTCCTTTCTGCGGCCAGTTCATAGTTCGAGGTAGACATTTTGATTAGAAAAAAATAAATAAAACCGAACTGGACAAACGCAGGGAGACTTGGCTTTTGTTTGGCTCACGCCCAGCTTTTTATCCGTGGTCTAGTTAAAGCTGTATGAAATATTTTACTGCTGCTTAATATTTAAGGAATTCTTAATTACTTATAACTTCTAATTAATTATAAATTTGCTTATAAGCCAAAGTAATTATAAGTAAAATAATGCCGCCGGCAATCATTTTTTTTGGAGAATCGTAAAAACATATTAAATAACATTTTAAGCCATTAATCAATGTTATTAATTTATTTGCACGAACTTTAAATCATTGGAATTATAATATGAACAAACACGAAAAACCGGAACATAAAAAACAACTGCCAACTAACCTAACCTAACGAATATTATCTTCTAATAGGTTTTCAGGGTCGTTGCCAAATGTAACTCACATGTTCCATCAAAATTTAATGTCTACAAATTATAACATTTTATCTACTAACTAAAAGTTTACAAGTTTTTATTTTACTTACCCTTTAATAAAAATGGGTTAGTTTATTTAAAATGATAAAATTAGCTTTAAGAAAACATCTACGAAAGTTTAAGTCAGCTTTGCAAACTTCCGAACCTCGAATACCGAACTTTTTGTTTAAAGCACGTGGACGGGCTTTACGTCGGAAATCTTCCACAACATGTTCTTGAGTAGATATATATATATATAACAGAAAAATTAGGCATGAGAAATATAATCACATCTTTATTTGGTACAAAATTTTCCATTGACGTAAGTTATATATTGTCTGAACCGAACGTAAATTGAGTGTGAACATAGCCTGTTTAGTTTTCATACATGATCTTGATTTTTTATCATATACTTTTTATCATTTTTACGACGATAAAGTTCAGTATTATACATGCAATAAGTTACAATTTAATTGTATGTAGACAAAGTGCACGCAGCACGTAAGTGAACAGACAAGGCGCGAAAAATAAATTAACGCCTTCTACGACAGCAGTATTGACATAAAACCAAACGGCCGCCTCCGTTCCGATCCAGAAAGTGCTACAGCAGTTCTTAATGTTTTTATACGCCTAATCGTTGAGAAAACTGGGTATTTGATTTTTTTGCAAACTTTGTATCTTTTGAAATATATTTTGCGATATGACATCTTCATTTAAAGCAATTTATGTATTTTTTATTGAGTCATAAATAATTTCCGCGTAGTGCGGACGTACCTAGTGAGCGGCGAGCGGAAGGGTGCGCGTACGGCGGGGGTGCCGGCGCCGCGGCTCGGACGACAGCCGGCGCACAAACACTCACACTTAAATATTCATCTAACCTTGATGCGAATCGGCGCACTCCGGGTTCCATCCGACGACGGTCGTCAGTACAGAGGGGTCGAAGGGCTCGCTCGAGGAGTGGATGCTGGCGGCAGAGCTGGCACTGGGTTTGGCGGCGCGGGCGTCGTGTCGAGGCAGCGCATGGGCGCGCCGCCACCAGGCACCGGCGGACCGGCGGTGGCGTGTGGTCGCGGGGCTGCGGGCTGC